CCTCTCTGTTCGAAAATCTCTGTTCGTTACGTGAACACACTCTGCTAATCCACATTTAGTTTGTATTTACTATCACATATAAATAATGTCGAATATGCATTAATCTAATATGCCTACCGAACATTATGAATAACATTTTGACATTTGACTAGTTTTTTTCTACTCACTAAATGGCTTCACTGATTAGAAAATATATCACAATTTAACATGACTTGTTGCTATTAATATATATTAAGTGGTCATAAATCTGACTGAATATCGAAATAAAAAACACAAATATATATTTCTGTATATAATATATAACCACATTTGTATAATAATATAATTCAAATGATTGTTGTTGTTCGGCGTGGTTCTTTTATGTGTAATAGAAACCAATTTTGAGTGGATATTGTCATACAATATGTTACCCCCAAAATTAGGATTGACAATTTATGGCAAAATATGTTTCGCAAAAAAAAAACTTGTAGTATTTTTTGTGATATTTATTCTATACAAATCTATTATTAATATAATGAATACAAATCACGAATTTTTCATTTTTCGGTTTTTCATTTTTTCGTTCAAGGTTTTTTTTTTGTGGGGACATTATAATGTCCATAAGTAAAACATGTCACGATTTTGTGATTTTTTGTAAAAAAACTAGGCAGGTAGGCAGCCATTAATTCATAACAACAACGAAAAATCACAAAAAAAAGGATACACTAATAGTTCCATAGTTTATTTAAATGTTGCAAACCAACAAAAAAACGAAACTAAACTAAAAATAGCTGACATCAAATATTTTCATCTATGGCAAACGTGATCAATTTTCGGTCATAAAGCAACTCATCAATATTCCAAATGTTCAGTTAAGCGTAAAACCTTAGAAAAATAGTTTTTTGCATCTTCTTCATCTTCCTTTGGTTAAATTGTGATTTCGTGCCAAATACCAAAAGTTGATGCAATGTTAGGAAATTGTAACTACAGAATGAAGAAAGAATAGGCTTTGTAATTTGAAATTGATATAAATGAGGACAACAAAGGAAGCTGTAGAAAAATGGAAAAATATTAAAAAGAAGACAAACAAATTTAAAAAAACAGTAAGTGAGGTAGTAAAGTCGGACTGGACCGACTACTTTGGGTATATTCAACAGAGACAAAATTCGTGCAAATCTAATGATTTTCAGGGACTTTAGTGCACCATTTACCTAAAATCGAGGGAAACTATATATGGGAGCTATATCTAAATCTGAACCGATTTTCCCGAAAATTAGCACACATCATTGTCGACTTAATTCAGTACGCTATGCCAAAATTGGTGCAAATCTAATGATTTTTAAGGACTTTGGTGCTCCATTTGTATAAAATCGGGCGAAACTATATTTGGGAGCTATATCTAAATCTGAACCGATTTTACCGAAATTTAGCACACATCATTGTCGACGTAATTTATTACGCTATGCCAAAATTCGTGCAAATTTTCAGGGACTTTGGTGCAACATTTACCTAAAATCGGACGAAAATATATATGGGAGCTATATCTTAATCTGAACCGATTTTCTCCAAAATCAATAAGGTTCGTCCTTGGGCCAAACCAATGGGCTGTGCCAAATTTCATCCAATTCGGATCATAAATGCGACCTGTACTTTGTACAAAAATACATGGACGGACAGACGGACATGCATAAATCGACTCAAAATGTGATTCTATGCATATTCTCAAAAGGAACCATGGGTCTATATCGATTCCTTTGGTTGTTACAAACATATGGACAAAGACATAATACCCTGTACCACAGTGTGGTGAAGGGTATAAAAATTAAAATGTCCATTGTACAATTTGATATTAAAATCCGTCACGAAAGTTCCAATATCGGACGTTGGAAATCGATGCAGTAAAATCGATGACGACGTCGATATGTACTTCATCGACTTCGATAAATCATAACCGATGAAATCCCATCGCAAGAGGAAGAACACTCAACTCTTCGTCTTGAAGTTTCAACTAAATGGATCGTCAAGATCAAATATAAAAAAATTAAGCATTTGAAATAAATCAAAGAACGAAGAGTCTTAAATAGAATTTTATTAAAAGTGTAGTCAAAGAAAGTAAGTATCGTCTGTATTCTCGTTGTTTTATTGTGGTTTGCAAATTTCATATTGTCGTACGTCTTTGTTCAACTTTCCTTTTGACAGTATCGGCGACAGAAATACTCAAGGAATTTCTAAAAATAGACTTAAATACCTTTCCATGTAAAATCCAAAGTCCACCCAAAAGTCCCCAGAAATTCTAATAAACAACCTCGTCATCAACACAAAATTGCATTAATATTAGATAGCGCCACTCAGAGGAAAATGTAACACTAATTAAGCAAAGACCCAAACCACAGTACAAAATTCAAGGATGTGCTCAGTGTTCTGCGGCAAACGATCCGTTTTTGGCTGTCCTTCGTTTTTGGCCGAATTCAGTTGGAATTTCAGTTGACTCCACGCAACTCTCATACTACAGTCCAATGGGTTTCAGGTTTAAATCCAACGGAGGAGGACAAATCCTTTGAAGTAGTTTTTTGAATATTTGTGAAAGGGGGGTTACGTATACATCCAGATGAAATGCATTCAAATCCTTCTGAAATTCTAATAATCAATGCGGTATCAACAAAATAGGATAACACAAAATATGATTGATAGGAGATTGTGCACACCCAGTGAAAATGCTATCACTAAATAAGCAAGGACCTCGACCACTGTACAAAATTCAAAGAGGCGTTGTTTCTAGGCAACAATAGCTGGAAGCCTTATCACCTAGGACCGACTACAACCTTATCAACTATCAGCTGATTGAAAAATGTTTATATGGTTCTACGCAACTCCCACAATACAAGTCTATGGGTACAGGTTCAAATCACAAATGGGGAGCAAAAATTCTTTCAAAGTGGTTTTTAAATCATGAAATGCATCCAAATTCTGCAAAAATTATTTCAAATGGTTTTTAAATCATTAAATGCATCCAAATTCCCCTGAAATTCTAACAATCAATATCGTCATCCACACAATAGGATGACACAAGATATGATTGACCTAAACCACTGTACAAGAGGCGTTGTTTCTATGCAACAATAGATGCCATCTTGGACAGACTACAGTCATATTCTGGTTGAAGAAATCTTTAGGTTATATCACATGACGATCATGCATTATTACGGTGCCAATATTCTGCAGCTCGAGGTCCGTTTTTGGTTGTTCATGATCTTCATCAATACATACAGACCAAAATGGCACAAAAAAAGCAAAATGGCACCAACCACAGCACAAAACTCAAAGAGATGTTTTTTCTAGGCAACGATAGATGGCATACCCATCACCTAGGATAGACTGCAGTCATATCGAATATATGTTAGTAAAATAAATGCCTCTATCTCACGCTATCAATATTTCGAGGTCCGTTTTGGCTCTTCTTTGTCTTTGAGCGTGAGTTGAAATTTCAGTTGGAGCCACGGAGGAAAAATTCTTTCAAAGTGGTTCTCAAATATTTGTATAATTAGACCTACATCCCCCATAGATAAAATGCATCCGAAGCTCCTCGACATAATAGTAATTAACCTCGGCATTCACACATGAAAAGGACACAAAAAATGGAATGGCAAGGGATATCAACACTCAGAGAAAAACGGGAAAACAAAAGAAGCAAGGACTCAAACCACTGCACCGAAGATGTTGTTTCTAGGCAACGATAGATGGCAGCATCATCAACTTGGGTAGACTATAGCAGGCCAACAATCTACTGAAGAAATTGTCTATAAAGACGGCCAACGGAACGGCGATATTGGTCGCTATAAGCCATAGTCGTTATAAAATGAAGGACAAAACTTTGTTCAGGGCTTATAGATTCCGTTGTTAAATCGGTGTCGTTATAAACGATTTCGGTTGTACTTAGCTGGAATTAAAGCAACGATTAACGAATCTAACACGAGGAGTAATCGAATCAGATGACGCCCATTAAAGCCCTATGCTTCGTAGAATAGAAACTGGGCTTCTGGATACCGTCGTTAAATCGGAATAATAATAAACGATTGATTTAGCTGGAATTAAATCGAATAAGATGAGGCCCTATGCTCCCAAGAATAGTAACAAGAGACACAAATATTGGGCCTCGTAGAGGGTGTTATTATTAAAATCGTAGCTTGTAGAGAGATTATATGATAACATTTTATTCCGATGGTAAACCCTGAAATATTTTTCCAATACGAAAACAAAGTTTGTTAATAATACATTAAAAAGTACTTTGTGTAATAAATTATTATATGTTTCCTTTTTTCAACTTCTACCAATAACAAAAATAAATTGCATGCTAATTTTGTTGTAATGCCTCAAATAAATAGAAATGCTTAAATGTATTTACCATGTATTGCTTTATTTTATCTTTTACTTATCTTAATAAATTTTACAATATTTTTTCTAACACATTTTAATACATTTCATTATATCATAATCACGAAAATTCACTATGATTTTTTTTTATTTTCAAAAGAAAATATTTTATTTTTTAGCATATCAAAGCACCTAATTTTTTTAATTCATTATTTTTCATAGCAATTCACCTTACATTACTGAAAAAAATTACTCATTTAATAACATGTTTATATATCTACAACATCTATATATATAAAAAAATACAAACAAAAAATTAAAATTAAATAAAAAATACTATTAAAACTTATGTAAAAAATAAAATCAATTATCAAGCTAAAAATATTTAAAATTACTAAAAAAACAATACTTATTGAAACACAAAAAGAACACAGAAAACAATAAGTTATAAAAATATTATACTAATTTCCCTTTTGTATAGTAAATTATTTATATTTGATTTTGTACAATTTTTCCTTCTTCCTTAAGAAAAAATCTCTTGCCCCTAAAAGTATGCTAACATATGTTTTATTATGTTTCCAAAATCTCTTTCAACCAATCAACAATATCAAAACAAATATCCAAACAAAAACAAAACACAAATTATATAGCAAACCCAAGAAATCGAAGATGAACCGGAGCCATTGAGTATGGCTTGGCCAGATACTGCCCGTAAACGTTTAACCTATATTTTGGTTGCACCGCTATTGATACCCATGTGGCTAACTTTGCCCGATACGCGTACACCCAAAGGTAAAAAGCTATTCCCCATAACGTTTATTGGCTCTATACTATGGATAGCAGCCTTTTCGTATCTAATGGTATGGTGGGCCAATGTTGCCGGTGATACGGCACGTATACCGCCTGAGGTAAGTTTTTGAGTTAAGTTGTTAACTGAGAATTCCTAAAAGTGAAAATATAAGAATTAATGAGCTTAAAAAATATACAATTGAAATTAAATACCATTATTAATTTTGTATAAATATTTTAGGTTATGGGTTTAACCTTCTTGGCCGCTGGTACATCTATACCCGATCTGATAACATCGGTGATTGTGGCCCGCAAAGGTTTTGGTGATATGGCTGTTTCCAGTTCTGTGGGTAGTAATATTTTCGATGTTACTGTTGGGTAAGTACACAAAATATTAAAATATGAGCGTAAAAAAATATTGAAAATAAAAAGGTAGAAAATAATCTGTAAGACCTAATATATATTTAAAAAGATTTCACAAAAAAGCGGTTAAAAACATTTTAAAAATGTATTAAAAATGGGAATATATTTAGAACCATTCCAGATTCCCAATGACAATCTGAAAATCTAAATTTTAAGCCAGATAAAACTTCAACAAATGCCTATATATGGCGTTTATAGAGCGCGATTTATGTTGACAAGTTTATACAGAATAATCCTACAGATTAAATCGATATGAAAATGTGTCTTCAAAATATGTAAAATTGGCGGTTACAGTTTTATGATCCCGGACCTTGTATTGACAATGCCAACATGGGTTGTCAACAAAACTTTAATATATCCTACCTGGCAAAGGCGTATGCGTAGCGGCACCATTCATTCGCACTAGTACTATTTATAATTAGTAAATCATCCACTGCATACTTCTAGGTGTTTTTTTTACTAAATGCTGAGAAACTACTAAATTTGTTTTAAACTTCACAATGAAAGCCCCAAAAACCCATAAAATAGTCTCTGTTTGATCAATAATTTCATCGAGTAGTTTCTTTAGCTTTGAAAATAGAAAATTGGGACTAATACGAAGCATATGACCAAAGTATGCAATTTTGAAAAACAAAACCTGGAGCTGATCACTATTCGGAACCCCTCCCAATAATTAATTATTAAAACTTTCAAGTACTTTTATTTGTTCGTCCGTATTGACCTATATTGGATGTCCAAAATGCTCAGTGAATATTTTTTTTTATTATTGTGTCAAACTACATTAAAATGCATTTCAAATGCTCAGGAATTCGAAGGCGTATACGTAACGCCAACATTCATACGCAATGTAATACTTATATTAAATAGTAAACTATCGATAGCATACTTTCAAGTGTTTATTGGTGAAAGCTTAAAATAATAAATTCATAACTTTAAAAAATTCATAAATTAGAATTCAAATGTTTTGCCACTTAAATTGATACAGAATCTTCATAGCATTTCTCAAAATTAATGATTTACTGAAAATTTTGCAATAAGAAAATAAAAATGGGGTCCCAAATAGCTCCGCCAACACTACTTAATAATTTACTTTTGTGGGAACTGTGTTGCACTTCATATAACTGCTAGGAATGCTAAAAAGACAGAAAATTGTTGATATACAATCGACCCAAATTCCACATGAAATTATATAATTATATAGGAGTATACGTAACGTCAGCATTCATTTGCACTAGGAAATAAAAAATAATAATTGCATACTTTTAGGAGTGTGTATATTTATAAATAATTAATGTTAATAAATAAAAACATGCGTATTAAAAGCGTATATTCAACAATACCATAAAATTAGCTTTAGAAAATTTGCAATTAAACAAAATCTGACCATCTATTATATACTTCTAGGTATTTAAAAACAATTAGTTTCTTGTGGGAAGATGATTTTTCAATAAATTCTACTTTAACAGGGGTTTAATGCTATGTTGATCTTTTTAACAACACCCGACGCTTGTATCGCATATTCAGATTTAGCAAAATGAGCTTTTTGTAAACTTTTAATTATACCCGGCCCGGCCCCCAGGGTTTCTTGTATCGCATATTTAGATTTAGCAAAATGTGTTTTTTGTATACTTTTATTATACCCGGCCCCCAATTTTCTTGTATCGCATATTTAAAATTAAAAAAATATATATTTTTTTAAGTCGCCATCTTATTTTCAAAAAAAAAAAAAAACGATGGTGCGGAAAAGGCAACCACCCAGTTCCAAAATTACCTCTGTCGCACCCTCTTAAATATGAAAACAAAGACATAGAAACCGTAAAGACTCGACTAAATGCATTTTGGCAAAATAGTGTATGAAAAAATATCCAGGGGGAATCAAGGTTAACAGAGGCATGTTAAGAATAAAAACGCCAATACGCGAAAATGTGTGAATAAAATGTAAATAAAATTAGAGGCCTGCGCTCAAAATATGTATTTTCATTTTATAAGCTTAAGATATAGCATTAAAAACGTTTAATATTGTTCTCTCTGTTGTTATGATATCGTAACAACAGAGGAAAATCCATCTGTTGGAAATTGCTTACGTATCAATTGTCCTATCTTTAAACTTTTATGTCTTTGATGAAAATATGGTCTTGGATGCTTCACCGACCACGAAAAAAAGGAATACCACAAAAATGATGAGGACTCAGGACTTTATATCAAGAATGTAAGATGTTTCAAAACGTATAGAACATGATACGGACAAACAAAGCTTCAGATATATTGAAAGAACTAAAGTATAATGTTAAAGGGCCATTGAGACAATTTTATTTGTGAAAGGGAAGACATCACTTTGAGGGGACGTAAAGCCTACTGAACAGAGTACACCCAAAAATGCAACATACCTTAGTCCGAATACAAAACAATTAATAGAACTAATTGGAGAATACACCCATAAGTCTATTTGGAAGACCACGGTCCAACATGTTGTTTTCTACTTGGTCTTTCCATCTAATTCGTGGCCTTCTCCTTCTACGGGAACCATCAGTAGGCTCGTTTTTATATGCCTTTTGAGCTGGGGCATTCTCATTCATTCGCCCAGCCACCGTAGTCGCTGCTGCTCAATACGACTGACTATGTCGATGTCCGCGTATAAATTGTAAAGCTCGTGGTTCATTCGACGTCGATATTCACCGTCGACGCAGGTCGGCCTGTAGTCTTTCGCAGAACTTTTCTTTCATACACCCCAAGAGCTGCCTCATCTGCTTCCGCAAGTACCCATACTTCAGATCCATGTAACAGCACGGGTAGTATCAGTGTCTTGTAAAGTGTGACTTTGGTCTGGCCTTGTTTCTAAACTGCTTACTTAGACCATAGTACCATCGGTTGGCCATCACAATCCTTTTCCGAATATCAAAACTGTTGTCATTCGTTTTATTTATGGCGGTACAAAGGTATAAAAAATCTTTAACTACCTCGAAGCTGTCCGAGTCTGCTGCACGTCTTGCGCCTTAATACCATCAGCTTGGTCTTCTCGCCGTTTACTGCCAGACCCACTTTGGCAGACTCCTTTTCAATTTGTTCAAAGGTGGCTATTACTGCTCGCAATGTTCGACATATTATATCGATGTCATCGGCGTAGTCGAGTAACTGGTGTTGTTTGGTGTACAGAGTGCCATTTCTGTTCACCTTTGCGTCTCGTATGACTTTTCCAGCATGACGTTAAAAATTAATTTTGCAGGAATGCCGAACGAAGACATGGCTTTAAACACCTCTGAACGGATAGGGCTGTCGAATGCGGCTTTATAGTCGACAAATAGGTGGTATGTGTCGATGTGTTTTTCGTAGGTCTTTTCCAGGATTTGGCGCAGAGTGAAAATCTGGTCAATGGTGGATTTGCCAAGTCTGAAGCCGCATTGGTATGGTCCAATGATGTCATTGACCATTGGCTTCAATCTTTCACACAGCACACTGGATAGCACTTTATATGCGATGGGAAGGAGACTTATTCTTCTATAGTTGGCACATATCGTTTTGTCTGCTTTTTTGTGCACGGGACACAGGATGCTGAGGTTCCAATCATTGGAATGCATTCCTCTAGCCAAATTGGGTAGGTGGTATACACTCTATACCGTCATCTCTTACTGGTTCAGGGGTATCTTCTTCAACGCTACTATTTGATACCAGAAGCTGTCTGTATCTGTCACCAGGTTTCCGTCTTCATCTCTACAGGAGGCTACACCAAAGCCTTCGGTTTGATGTTTTACTCGTTGGCCTTTCCATATATTTGCTATTAAAGCATATAAAAATTGAACGTGCGTACAAATGATGTATATAATACATAATACATTTGTTTTTTAACTTAATCATCTACTCATTCCATATTAAAGGAATGCAAAATTTGACTATTTTCATTCCGCACAATTTTTGTACTATTTTCCACTAAACTATTTTTAAAAATGTATTCTGCTGTCTTAAATATTTCCATGTATATTACTCTTCCATGGGGATTCGCGATTTAATTGGCATAAACTTAATTGACGGGACAAATATCTCCGTACCTTACAAACGATTTTCAAATAAATATATCCATGTCTTACAAAAAAGAAAATACCAATATCGATTGCACGTATACGTATCGGCAACACTCATTCTCACTAGAGGACGTGCAAATTAAAATCGATCATCAATTGCATATTTCTAGGAGTTTAATTACAAAAAAATCGTAAAAATAGATATTATTTACAAATTTTAGCAGTTCTTTGCACTAAAATATTTGTTAAAATATTTTCTACTCTCGAAAAATGGATTAAAAATGAAATCGTTAAAAAATTATATGTTAATAGGAAAATAGACGCGTCCATGAAGGCGTGCACGGCTAAATCGAACCTCTTTGTAACGTAGAGTGATGCCGCGATTTAAATTTTCATTGGGACTGGAAAATGGCAACGTTAACGATAGTTTACGCTAATTTTTCATTCTTCATCCTATATTATCTTCATATGTACGGGCATGATATTTATTTTAAACACTTTCTTTCAAAGTGTCCATAAGTCCTTTAAAATATCGCCGTATTTAGTATTTCTTAAATGCTTTTCACGTTATATCATGTATATTGAAGGAATTATCTGTTAAATTATCGATTTTTGTCATAACCTTATGGAACATATTAGTTTCTTTATGGTATTTGGAAGCATTTTCATAGATTTAGATTTATAAACCAAAATAGGCATAATCATGAAGTCCCCGACAATATTACCGCCAACAAGAAAGTTTGGCATTTATAGGGTTATAGTCCTGCTCCTAATCTTTCCTTCATCGATATAAAGGTTCTTCCGGCCTCCCGATTCTAGAACAGTATCGTCCACATCGTTTTTTTTCTCAAAGCATATATACTTGACGGAAGAAATATTTCAAAGCCTTGTGATAAAATTAGAACTTCCTATGGGTGTATACGTAACGGCAACATTCAT